TGGGGGCCTACTGTCTAGGGCGCCTCTTGGCCACGCCGCGGTGCTAGTGATGGGTGTGCGCACGGGCAGAGCCGGAGCGGACTTGGCGTGGGGGAGAACCTGGCTCCGTGCCTGCTGACCCTCTGGGCACCCCGCGGGGTGGCTCTGTCCTGGCCTCCTGCTGCCACTGCCCGCCACGAGCCCGTCTGTCCGCTGCTGTCCTGGGTGTGGGCTACACCCCGCCACAGGCAGGCCACGCCGGCTGGGGGGCTGAGCGCTGTTACTGCCCCTCGGGATTCTCCTCTTCCTTTCAGGACAAGTTGGTGGGCGTAGTTTGGAGGCACCTAATTGTCTTCCCCAGTCCTATTTAGAAAGCTCTCCAGCCCACAGAACAGCCGCCAGGAAGTACAATGTCCTTCACCTGGACTCGCCACTCAGCGTTCGAGCAGTTTGCTTTTTCTCTCCCCAGCCGCTGCTGGGTGGGAGGGCGGATCTGTCCTCTCCACGCGCTGAAAGTGTGCGCGCGTTCGTGCTTGGGGTGGGGGGCGGCTGTGCCAGGTCCAGCCCTTTGTCCCCCGTGGGGAGACACAACGGCCCCCTCTGGCCCCACATACTGAACAGCTCTCCAGTGCCCTCCAGGCTGCCCCAGCTACAGCCCTCAGACTGCACGTGTCTCCCCGTCAGGCCCGGCCTGGAGGTGCCAGTGAGAGCTGCCCACGTCAGTCCCAGCTGGAAGGGGCAGGCTGAAGACCTGTGCCCTGAGCCCCCACTCTTCTGGCGCCTGCCTCAGTGGGGACCGTGAACTCCCAGTGAGGGTGACGCTGCAGCTTCCAGCCGGCCCGCCCCTCCCCCACGAAGCGGGTCTGCTCCTGCCTCCCTGGCTCACCCTTGCCTCCGCCCTACCCACTTTCCTTGACCCTGCACTTTTGCTTTTATACATTTGTTTTCCAAAGATTTATTTCTTTATGCATACAGAACTGGGGTACAGGCGGCAGTGAGAGGATTCACCAGAGCGGGGAGCAGAACAGGCAGACTAAGTGCACTGTTGAGGGGAGCAGCCGGCGGGCCAGGAGAGGGCTGCCGCGTCCCCGTCCCATGGGTCACCCGGGCGGGGAGCGAACTCGCAGGGAGGCGGCCGTGGCAGCGTCCTCACCCGCTGCGCCCCGGGGAGGCCTGCCTTTATGCATTTCAGGGCTTGGGTTGTGAGGGGCAGGTGGCACCGGGCACCTGCCGCGTAGCTCGGGCAGCTGGGAGGAAGCAGCTGCCTTTTCCTCCAGGAAAACGAGACCTCCCCCAGCACCTCCTCCCCCACCTCTGCTCAGCTATCACTGTCCACTAGTTTATTTTTATTTTTGCCTCATCAGTTCAAGCACCTGGTTCCCTTATACAGCTCGCCTGTGTGAGATCATCCAGGACTCGTCTTTATTTTTCTGCTAGCTTGGCACAATGGCCTGGAGGGGCTGCCCCTCGCAGCAAATGGCACGTTTCGCCTCAGAGTTGAGCCACACTGCGCCGAGCGTGTGCCCAAGGCCCTACGGGCGCACCCCACACGCACCCCTCGGCTGCTGTAAATAACAGGGCCCACCCCGCGCCACAAACCCTGAGCCAGAGCGGCCATGGGCGGACGAGCCGGGTTGCGGCTGTGCCTCGCACCTTCTGGAGAAAGGGTTCCTGATCCGGGAGCCAGGCCAGGAGCCCAGGCGGTGTCACGGGATCCCCCATGAGATGATGTGAACGGCCAGCCAAGCCCAGGGGTCGGGAGCACTTGTTCACCTCAAGAGGTTGTGACTCCAGAGCTCCCAGCTGGGCTTTGCCACCCGTCTGTGCCCTTTTCCTTCTCTGCTGGCCTGGCCTGCACCTCCAAGACAGTCAGCTTTGGGGGGGAGGGGCAAGCCTGGGCCTGTGGAAGGGGTACAGGACTCCCCCAGCTGAGGCGGCAGGCAGGCCCCCACCAGAGCCCACAGCTGACCAGGGCCTTCAGCAGAGACCACCAGACAAGTTGCCGCAGCCAACCACACTCCAGCCTGCGGGGAGGCTCTCCCCATGTTGGGGACCGGCCCCCATCACAGGTTGTTGGGGGGCAGAACAGGCAGGGTCTTAAGGTGGGAGTGGTGTTGGCAAGTGGAGATTCCTAAAAGGGGGGAAAGGGAGAGCGGGCGTGAGGAAGTCACGGGAGTGGCAGTTGGGTGCACGTCTTCCTGCTCTGGTCTCAGCAGAAGTTTATTTTATACATTAGGAGCAAGCAGCGGGATGACATCAGCACATGAACTGGGCTGAGAGGTTATAATCATCTTTTTTTCTAAGAACAGCTTGGGGTCGTATTGACCTTCAGCTGAGATTATGACATTTATTATTCATAAAATCAATCTATTATAGTTAGGAATAGGGTACATACATCATAAAATTTAAGGCGAACATGGCTATATTTACCGGTGATGATTGGCTAAAATAAAGTCCCTTTAAACCTCAAATGCTACTTAATGATCTTCATTCTCATTGAGACATCCTAGAGGGTAAAGTCAAGTCGAGGGCTAGGGTGGAGAAGTCTTCTTGTAGATAAATCACTAAGGGAGATAGTAAGATTCCTCATTTGAAGACTGAGCAATAAAAGCTTAAGAGAGTAGAGTGGTAAGATTTGGGTTCTGGTGTGGGCACTAAAAGAACTCTGATTACTTTTAACATGTTCTAGTACTGCCTTGTTTTACAATATTGATTTTGTTATAAGCCAATTGTTTTTATTAATCAGCCAGTTGTAATATATTTTTTGACCTCAAGTGGAATTTCCCATCCTAAGGCAGTGCCTTATGAGGCTGAGGCAATCCAGTTGAAAACTGATGGCTGCTTGGACTATTTTGATGATTATACAAAAAAGGGAGGTCACAACATGAGCTAGCATGGAAATTCTGATTTTTCAGAGCATTTCCCCTCCATCAGGATAGTGCCTGGCGACAGAAGTTGCTTACAGCTTGTGTCATCCCCAGTGTGCCGCCCCAGGGGGCCCCGACCCGCAGGCTGCCCCTCCCCTCCCAGCCTAGAACCTTGGGACAAAGGACAGAACACTTACGGCCAGGCCATTCCGCCCCAGCGGGCTGCAGGTGCTGGTGCAGCTCACCAAGGGCAGCGTGAGGAGTGGGCCCATGTCTGAGGGGTGAGCGGGGGCTGAGCGACTCCCCGGTGGGGCAGCAAAGAGCAACGTGCTGCCCTGGGCCCTGGTGTAGAGAAGGGCTAGGGGGTCAGGTGCCCCTGGCGAGTGCTTGCCCACTGTGGGCCTCGCCCTACTTGCTGCCCTTGGGCTACTTGCTCCAGAAACAGGGTCTGCTTGGGGGAGGGCCCCGCCTCACACGCGCCCCCACCCCACTCCCACCAGCCCCCTGGATCAGTGCAGCACCCTGGAAAGGACCCTCGCCTGGAGGGACTCCAAGGTCCCTTCCTGACCAGGAGCCCCGGCCTAAAGGCCCAGCCCACTGCTCCCGTCAGTGGGGAGTGAATAAGTCACCCCCATCTCAAGCCTTCTCTACAGGTCCCCCTGCCGAAGCTCACTGTCAGCAGCCCCTCCTCCCCCCAGAGGGCCCCCACTTCACTGAGCTCTATTGTGGTGCCATTAGTGTCACATCTGGGATCTCCAGAGCCCCCACCGCGGTCCCCTCTGCTCGGAGGCAGGAGGCTCAGCGTGCCCTTGGGGTGAACACTGCCTCCCTCCAGAGCTTACCAGCGCCTGTGGGACTCCTCCCACGTGACCCTGCAAGAGCTGCTGGGCCAGGAGCCGCCCCTGCTGGAGGCCGTCCCGGACCGGGAGCGGCAGTCCTTCCAGTACAGGCTCTCCTCGCTCTACCTGCACTACCTGGGGCTGCTGCGCCGCTTCGACACCCTGTACGACCAGATCGTGCAGCCGCAGAAGCGGCGGCTGCTGCGGCGCCTGCTGGATGGCGTTGCGGGCCGCGTGCTGGAGCTCAAGGATGACCTGGTCCGCGCCGACCTGTGCGAGACCCACTGCCTGGACCGCGTGCTGCAGGACCTCACGC